GAAAGAATTACTGCTTTCCTAAGCCAACATATACAACAATGAATATGTTGGAAAAAAAAAAAAAAAAAAAAGAAAATGGTTAAATCCATCACTCAAGCCTTTGAAGATGTACCACACAAATGTCCATCTTCTTACACCATAACAATCTAATGACAATCCAAACATTCATTTAAGAGAAAAAAAACAAAAACGAATATTACTCACTCACTTTACTTTTTACCAGACTTTGAATTAGGTCACTTTGTTCCCTCCACATACTTTGACTGTCCCCTTCAACCACCTGATGAACATTCATGAATATTCTCAAATTTACAAGCCTTGATAAACCAATGACATTTTCATCTCTGTGCAGCATAATAAATCCTACATTGACTTGATAAAGTCCCTTAGAGAAAAGCATGTTGGCTAAGTATAGTTTTTTTTTCTCCTACCTTACACACACACCCAAGATCAAAAAAAAAAAAAAAAAAAAGATTTTCCACTATAAACGGTTTACCAATGCAACAAAAAGTGCTCAATATCATAGGGAACAATAGCACCATAGTAGAGGAGGTTACAGCTTCAAGCAAAAAAGTGCTCAACAATATTGGGCCACTAAGCCATCCACGTCAGAACTATTTTTTTTTTTTTTACAGCTATTTTGATCTTGGACAGATCGGTTAAATACCCTGTGCAAGAAAAAAATGGTGAGTTTGGTTCACTTATCATAAGTGCTGGTATAAGAGTTCCTATTTTCATACAGTAGAGTTACTGATTGCTTGATGATTGTGCAAAAATGCATGAAACTGGAAGTTGTGGTCAGTCCACTTGAAATTTGACTTAAAATATATTAAAGCTCTGTCACTTATGGCATCAAGCACTGCTTTTTTTCTGTGTGCATTCTTAGGCAGACTCTTTTGGGAAATGCTCACTCATAAGGGCCCGCTATTGTCCTTTAGTGTTGTTCTTTACTGCAGTGATCGAACATTATTGCCACTTTCATATGGTTTCACCCAATCATTGTTGGTCAAAGCTTGCTTAGAAATTGACTTAAAATATATTATAGTTCTGCCATTAGCACTGCTTTTTTTTCTGTGTGCAATCTTAGGCAGACTCTTTTGGGAGCTGCTTATTCTTATTTCTAATTATATATATTTCATAAAAGGAAAAGTTGACTTTTTTTTTCTTTTTAATAAATAATAGAGGTAAGGTATGGAAAAGGTGGCAGTCTGATTGAACCTTTTGAGAAAGCTCTTTTCCTCCTATATGCATAAATATCGTTTTATCATCAAGTGACTAACAAATAACTGCAAAGTAAACATTGACAATAATAATAAACAAAACAAACATGAAAAGAAAAAATATATAGGCACATACAAGTGACTACTTCACAAATCGCTTAAAAGGGAGGAGAAGATAGAGATGGGGGTATGCATAGATACAACATTGCAAACAGCAGCATGTAAACAAATTAAATAACCCATGCAGCTGATAATAGAAGACTCATGAATGCAAGTGAAAACATGGCTATCAACAATTGGTGGTGAAAAGAAAAATAAACAAATAAAAACAAACATGCATGATTGTATGCAGATTTAATTTCAGTGTGAAACAGCACATGCCCCCCACCCAAAAAAATCTGATATTTGAATGTAAGAAAAAAAAAAAAAAAAATTAAATTAAATTATTGTTGTAATAAAGAAAAGGGAATAAATAAGTAATTTTTTTTTTTTTTTTTTTTATTCTGGCTTCCTTTTTAAATACAAATATTCAAAGTGTAAAGAAAAACAAACAAAAAAGTTTCATATACAAAAAAAAAAAAAAAAAAAACACTGGATCTATAAGCAGTACTGGAACTGCTAAGATGACGTAAAGGTGTCCAAGTGTTGATTGCAAGATGCATCTCAGAGCTTAGCAATTACAAAAGGATCCAGTAATCTTACCAATGACCATTAAAAAGACATTTCTTTAGAACAACCAGAGGGTCTTGATGCTGTTAAATTCATTTTTTTTAATTTTTTTTTTTTAATAATAAAAATATTGCATTTAAAGGCTGTTAACTTAATAACTGGATTGGAATTGAGTGTGAGTTATTCCATTTTAATAATAATAATTAATTAATTAATTAATTATTCTCAACTTTCACTTTTCCTTGATTGGCTAATATATCAAATACACCTTACAAAAGACGACTGCATAAGGGTTAAAAAATAATTTTTTTTTTTTCCTTCTTTTCCTGAATTTATAGAAAGAGGTGTTCTCAAACTTTTGGACAAGATGATTGTTTTAGATTGCAGGATTATCCGAGATTGTAAAACTCACCTTTATGCTTGGAGCAAAAATCTATCTTCTTTAGGTGGTGCTGAAGAAAGATGTTCTTGAAAACCAGTATCTGAATACTGCAATCATTTAAGAGTGCATTCAATAACATCTGCAGTTATATCACGCGCATGCACGCACACAGATCTCCAGACAGCAACTTTTAGAAAAGATATAACTTAATTAACAACACAGCCATGAATCTCTCACCCGCAGTGGTATTCACATGAGAATAAAAAAAAAAAAAAAAAAAAAACTTATTACACAAACCGATCTGGTTGACTCAATAGCATTGAGATTAGACTATTGAGTAGGTAAAACCAACTTTGATTTCTTTTACAAGAAGAAACCTGACTTTCTTGTACAACACCAGAACTAAAAAGGTTAAATTACAGACCAAACTTTCAGTTTCCATCTGAATCTCTGGAATGAGGAGTTATTTACATTCAGACATAAATACTCAGCTTGGCTATTATTATCACAATGTTTCGGCCATCTTCAGGTGTCCTTCAGGGAATTTCAAATTGAACCATTTATTTAATCTATGAGTGTAAATTGTTCTTTTCCTGTCCATTTCTAGGGATATCGCATCCATTTTCATACTTCTCATTTACTGCTAGTCTTGTTTCCATCAAGTGAACCTGTACTATCCATCCCATGGATTGAACTCACAATTACCATGCTGCAAAAGCCACAAGCTAACACTTTAATCCACTAGGTACTATAATCCATCAGGTTAGTGGATTAAAGTGTCAGCTTGAGAATAGCACAGTAACTGAGCTGAAACATGCTTAGCAATAACTAAATAGTACTGAGGAGAAAAAGAGAGGTCCCTAGATATAGACCCTGGAACAGTCTTTGCCAAAGATTGAATAGATTATTCAATTTGAAATTTCCTGAAGGTTACTTGGATCAGCAGACACCTGATGATGGCTGGAGGGTACAATGGCCAAAACGTTGTAATAATAACAAACAAAGGTAAAACGTAAATAAACTTCCAGTTTTGAACATTTTAGCAATCTAAACAATCATTGCACCAACTTGAGTAAGTATGAACATGGAGCAGCAGAAATTTTTTTACAGGTGAATAGCCAAGAGGAAGACAATGTGACCACCTAATGTTTTCATTTGCATACACATATACAAGAACGAATAGTTTTAATATTCAAGCCTGAACAAATATATTATAAAAAAAAAAAAAAAAAAAAAAAAAAAAAAAAGTTATTTTTAATTATTTATTTATTTATTTTAAATCTGCCACAACGTCCCCAGCTCACAAGAGTTAATGATAAAGGCACGGCAACATTTACAGTTAAATTCTAAGAGTTATAGTAGCCCGCAAGGGAGGCAACTCTGTACAATTTATCAGTAAAATCTATGTTATTCCCCTTAGAAGAAAGTGCCACCATTGAGAGGGAAAAAAAAAAAAAAAAAAAAAAAAAATGAAAAACATTATGCTATTCTTTCCTGTTATAACGTGCAAGTGTGTGTGTGTGTGTGTATATATATATATATATATATATATATATATATATATATATATATAAAAAATCACATATGTACATAAAACAGTTAAATATTTTACATGTACTACATGTACAACTATCATATACATATTACAAATATATACTGCATATATATATTACAGAAACTAAATATGTGCAAATATATACGCATATAGTACATATACAGGTGTATCATATGTATTTAATACATATAAAAGTGAACAGTTAACACAAAAAACAAAGGAAAGGAAGGAAAAAAACAAACAAAAAAAAAACAGCTATACATATGATTTTATACAAATGTATAATCCTAATAAATGCAAAAAAGAGAACTTCACAGGGTGTGAAAAGAAAGAGGCAATGTGGAGATTCAGCAGTGTTCGTTTGGGCAAAGTAGAAAAGCACAGTTGAATATGGTTGAAAGCTTTCAGGATGAAAGAGACTGCAGAAAGCAAATCAAATGGAGCCGAGTGTCAATAGGTTTTACCGCTGAGTTTTCTGTCAGCTGTGAGGAAAAATGTATTGTGATAAGGGCAGACAGAATAGGGGTGACTTCATGATAGGTATAACAATGTTTCCAGAAGGTCAAAATGGTGAGAGGGGAAGAGAGTGTGTGTATGTGTGTGAGTAAGCAAGGAGAAGATAGGGGTACGAGAGAGAGTAGAGAGAAGTAGAAGGTAGAGGAAAGAAGGGAGAGAGTAGACGTTGACGATGGGTGGGGGGGAGACAGGGTAGGCGACAACGAGGCGGGGGGGGAGGAAAAGAGGTAGATGAGGAGAGGTTAGAAGAGAAGGAGAGAGGAGAGTAGGAGAAAGTCTGTCAAGAGGACATAGTAATGAAGGTAAAAGAAAATACATAAATAATTATTTTTCTTTTTTTCTTTATACACGTAAAAAAAAAAAAAAAAAAAAACCCTTCATCACTTTAGCTTTTGCTGCTGAGGATAATATCTCACATCAACCCTTCCCACAATGCTCGATTATCGCTTTGCACTCTCATGGAGTCAGGTTTCAAAGTCCTCAAGAAAGAAAGAAAAAAAGAAAAATAAATTTACAATTTCTCCTCAGGGTCTTTGTGTCTTCTTTCTCTTCTTTCTCTTATCACTGGCTGCTGCTGAGGCTCTTGACGCTGACAGACCCCCAACAAAAAAAATGGTGAGGGTGGTAACCTGGCAAGGACCGCAGCCCCTAGCGGCCATCAGGCTTCACTTTCACCATTTAGAGCTGCTTGGTCTTCAAGAATAGGAACAATGAGATTGTCTTTTGGCATCAGATTGTACTTGGTTACGAATGTAGTGAATCGTCTACAGAGGTTGGTCTCATTCTGGTAAAAAATAAATAAATAAATAAAAATAAATAAATAATGCCATAGAAAGTTTTGCTTTTTCATCTAAGACAGAGGGTCCCCCAATCACTGGGCCATGAACTGGTCCTGGTCAGTGAATCATTTGCTACTGAGCCGCAAAGAAATAATTAACTTGTTTAAAATTATATAATAATAGATAAAGTGAATATTGAACTTTAAAAAGATTTGTTTAAATATTAAAATGTTCATCTGCTCTATCATAACTGTAAGTACATTTTACAATTAATGTATATTTTTATTTATTTGTAATAATTTCCTAATACCAATTTTCAGATTCAACATTATGATGAGTTGATATTGATAATAGTGTAATAGGCATTGATTCAGGGAAATGAAGGATGCAAATATGTGGTTTGGCTGGAGTCGTTTGACACAAGACAAAAGATTATATACATTTTCTTCCCTTTAACCTTTATGTAACTTCATTTGCTGTGTGGAAAGTTCATCCTGCAACTGAAGGTGACTGATACTTGAATTTGCATGAATTTCATAGTTGTGTTGTCATATCCTGCTATGGCAACAGAAAACATCTTTGAGTGAAATTAACAATAAGGATATTGCAATTGAGAGGCCTTGAAAAAGAATGCAGTGGAAAGAGAAGTAATATTAATTATGTAGAGTGCTAAATAAAGGGTTCTTTTTATTATAGCTCTCTTTATTGAAATATACTTAAATTACACATGTGCCATTACTGGTCTGCGGAAAGATTGTCCGGCATGAAGCTATGCCATAATATAAAAATGTTTGGAGACAAACTGATCATCATGTGATGGTGGAGTGCCAAATAAATAGACATTAGCGTTTTTGACATCGGCTTTTCTTAAGATTTCACTCAAGGTTCCAAAGCTACCACAAGATATTCGTGCTGTGTATGGAGAAGATGCTACTACAAAAAAACTGTACAGAAACAGTTTTCACACTTGAAACAGGACTGACCTCACAGACTCTCTACATTTAAGCTGCGTCTTGGCATCATTCTTTGAACATTGTCGATGGGCACTACAGATTCACAAACAGGTACAGGCTGACATTAAGTCCAACTGAACAAGCTCATCCACAACGATCCGTGCCAACCCACCACGGAATAGGCCCAGCAAGTGAGAGGTTCTAATTATATTGTTGCACTTCTATTTCACTCAATTTAAAATTTTTGATGAAAAATAGAATTAAGATAAAAAAAAACAAAAAAAAACAAAAAAAACAATGAATTTATCTGACAACTCAATATCTCAACTCCAAGGTTAAAATATTTAAAACAGAAAACCAATTATTTATTACTAGCCTCAAAGTCACACTGTGCAGGCTTTTAAGCTAGCTCCTGCAGAGGGTTAACTGGGCCTCTGGCCCAAAATTAAAGGAACCTTAGAAAACAGCAATGATAATTTTAAACAAACAACATTGAATTCCTCAATTCACTCCAAGCAGAAAGTCTAATTTGGGCCAAAATTCCAATTCAGGCTGAAAATTGAGTTCTTCAAATCACAAGCTTCAAAACCTCACATCACAAAACCTGTCATTTTAACTCCGATTCCTTGGCATTTTGAAGAAATAAAATTGATTTTCTCAATTCACAAAGTTTTGGAGATATTTTAAACTCAATTTAAACAAAAATTTTAAATTCAAAATTTTTCTATTACTTTAAAATCAATATAAATTAAAAACTTAAAATCACTAATTTTTTTTTCAATTCCCTCCTCATCTAGACACAAATCCCAATGCTGCATGTTCAAACACCAGATGAAGGGCAGATTTTCAATCCCAGGATCATCCCAATTTCAAAAGGTTGGTTGGTTGTTTTGTGGCTTATTAACCCCTCTTGGGTCATTTAAAACCGAGGAAGTCTTATATTTCATGAAATTTAATTTTTTTTTTTTCCTCAATCATATAGTATCAACTATTTATTTACTTATTTTTTATACAATCTTATGGTTCTCACTATTTTTTTCACAATCATATGGTACCAACTACTTTGGTTGGTTTAGGTATCAGTTTTCTTAACTGTTAGGTTTATATGGTTTGGTATTAACCCACTCTTTTGAGTAATGATATCATCCATCCTTGCTCTTTCAAAGGGCTTCCTTATGTTCTTTATATTGAAGTAGGTTTTCCTTAGATGGAACAAGAGCTGTACACTCGGTTAAGCAACTCAATATTAACCTCTTTCCAACAGCTTTCCATTCCTACAATGCATCATCACAGAATTTTCCTCGTAAGTGGAAACATATTCAATTTTACATAACTAGCTACTTATATCACTCACCTACGCTAATGCAATAGTAAAATAATAATCTAGGACATAAGATATTTCTATGACATGTGTTAACATAATTAAGACTAAAAAAAAAAAAAAAAACAACATATGGAGAACATAAATATGGATAATGAAATGAAAATAATATAATGAAATGATATTGATTTAAGCTGCTTGTATATTTATTGTCAGTGATGACATGATGAAGTGTAAGATCTTGTCTATTTTGCAGTACTTGGAAGCAGCAGCAATTCTGGCAAAGAAAGAAAAACAAATGTCATTTTTTTTTTTTCAGGAATTCATTACCTTATATTTTAACAAGAATATTCCTTATCTCCTAAAGGGAAACACTATATGTATATACATATGAACATGTTTCAAGCTACAGTGGAATGGACTTAAACCAAGAAACCAGCCAATGTTTGTAGATGTTTCTCACTTTTCAGAGCATTTAACAACGTCTAATTTCACTTCCAATGTGATGGCTTACCTTTTCTTTGAAGCACCACCATCAGAAAAGATCACACTACACTTGAGACCCACAATGAAGAGCAATAAGTTTACACAAACAAAAGAGTGAATGCACAACAATTCAATATGGTGTACAATCATGCTGTCTTATGTACGAGGCAAACAGCTTAAGTCAAAACAAGCTTAATGGAGAGTGCGTCATCACCATGAATTATCATGGCTTGGGACTGTCATAATCCAGAAACTGGCTGTATATTTATTAAAAAAAAAAAAAAAAAAAAAAAAATGGTGTCTACTCAAACACGCATACCCACTACATATGTTTATAGCAATAAGAAATAATTTAAAATTCATTGATTCCTTAGAAATTACTTTGTTTACATTTCAGACATAAAAATAAAGACATCTTGAGTATGACAAACTACATCTGGCATCAAGGCCTCTGATCAGGAGGTTTTGAGGAATGTGGAACCACCTCCTAATTGGTGTTGTTCCCAGGCCCACTCTGACTCAGGGTGGTTATCACCTGTTGGTGTCTCAGCTATAAACAAATAGTTACTCCCTCTCCCAAACTGCAGTCAAATCACTACAAAAAGTGTAAAAATACATTTTTATAAAAAAAGAAAGTGATACATTTTTGGAAAAAAATCACCAATACTCTTGACAAAAAAAAAAAAAAAAAAAACCTCTTTACAAAAAAAATATGTCAATGAAACTTGATCTACAAACTGATCTCTTACAAAGAATACATATTCTATTCATACAAATCTAAAAGATAACATTTATAGCTATAAATAAAAACAAAAATTATAAAATATAAATGCCTTAAAAACTTAAATTTCACCCTTCTTTGCAAGTTACAAAAAATTCATAATTATAAAAATATAACCCAATCTGACAATCCTTTACCAGAAAGGTATGAATCTTAATTTTTAAGCTAATGACTGAGCAAGCTCATGGTGAGTTCTACGACAACCAGAAATATGAATGCTGGTAGTTATTTTGAGAAGTAAAGGGATATACAACTTTCCCAATTTCAATGAAACAGACATTAAACACTTCTATCTGCGGGGGAGGTTGGACACACACTCATGCACAAACACTTCCCTGCATGAAGCACTCACAACAAAAACACAGTAAAAATCAATGGAAATAAAAAAAAAAAAAAGAAAAAAAAAAAGGGGCATCAGGAAAACAACCAACAACCCAAACAAATCAAATCCATGTAGAAGAATGAATGTCCCTTAAATGGTAATTGCTTGCAGAACAATGTAATATAACAAGCCGCTGTAAAATCAGCAGATAACAAAGAAAAAAATATACATACGAGTAACTGAAGGACCCTGGAAACAAAGAAACTACACACACAAAACATACTTTACAAATAGCAAATACATGAACAGCACAATGCTTTCTAAACATATCTAGGAGATAAAAAAAAAAAAAATCACACCAAAAATACCATGGAAGAAAAACAGCATCAACTTACAACAATAAATCCCAAAACTAAACTGTCTGGAGAAGAAAATAGCTATTATTTCCTTCCCAGACTAACACAAAATACTAAATGAAAGATCAAAACCCATCTCAAAAAGCTGACATGAAAACAAAGTTTTACTATGTTACTTAAAAATCTGCTGCCAAGAATTCAGTCTCGTACAGTTATTTATTGACTCACTACTCAATTCAGTCTAACTTAAATATCGATTAGAAATTATAAAATCGGGCATAAATTGTAGGGAAACAAATTTTTGAAAAAAAACAAAAGAAGAACCTAGGAAGAAAGAGGAAAAAATATAGTACCAACCTCAAATTCGTCAAATAGCATTCTGTGGTGAAAATAAGCATGAGAGAATATTCGATAGACTCTCCTGCAAACAGAACCAAGTTTAGCGACTGACGATTCTTTGATGCTTACTCTGGAAGAGAAAAATAATAAATAAAAACAGTGACCAAAGATTCAATAATGAGAAAAAACAAAAACTAAAAATAATAATCATATCTCAAAAAAATACTTAATTTTCTAATCTGGGTAAGGAATTTGCAAAGCTATTTACATAAATATAATTACATAGTTTTTTGCAATACTTATGAGAGAAGAATACTCAATATCAAAGATGAATCTTACATCAATGTAAACAGTGTGGAGATAGAAATCAATATTTGGTAACTGGCAGTTTCACACCATAAGTGATCATCAGACTATGGTAATGGCAATAGTAGCAGTTTCCCTGCATGGAAACATTCAGCATTTATTCACTGAGCAGTCAGCATTGCTTTCAGTTGAAATTTAGAAAATCTCTTAAAACTTTTTACAGGAAAACAGGCTTCAAGTCCAATAACTATTATTGCTCTTTCCAGTATTGATGGCGGTTTCCTTCCTAACCTTTTATTTGAAGTGGTGTGGAATGTCAACATCTTGATTATCTCATTGTTTTCTCTGAGTTACAGGCATTATCCATTTTATTTTTTGAAGCTATCAAAAGTCGTCAAGTGATGTGGTTTCTGTTATTTGGTACAGTTCTTTGTTTGTCATTCTGTAGTGCCAGTCCAGAACATACTATGAAAGATGATCTTTGCCAAGATCTTCAGGCTTTACTTATTCAAAGCTTTTTTTTTTTTTTTTTTTTTTTAACTATACCTAATTTATGAATATAGAAAGATGAGAACAACAGTTTGAATAAATCAAATACATTAATTCTTTTTTTTTTTTTTTTTTTTTTAAATGTATGAAAAGGAAGCACACTACTCCCCAGACTCTTGAACCATGTTTATCCCTTCTATCCTGCTAAGGATTGGGTTTCTGGTTCTTTCTAAAGTCTATCTCATCTCTATACTTCTAATATCTGTCTAAACTCTGAAATTTTATTTACTATTTTTATTTTTTTCTTCCATTGGAGTAGATAGGTTTGCCTATCATCTAGTTCACATTCCCCTCTGGTCTGAACAGGAATAGAGGTTTATCCCTTGATTCCCATTTAAGATTGAGTTTCTGCTTCCTTGTAAAATCTTCATTCTCTTTCACTCTCAGTAGCCCCTTGCATCTAAGTGGCATTATCACTTTGCTTGCAGTGATAAAAAAAAAAAATAAACACCCCTGCCACCACCCAAAAAATAAAATCTCAATAATAATAAAAATATATGTAAAGGAGCAAAGAATACGAATGATTTTTTTTTTAACAAAATGCTAAAAGCCAAGGTTTAGTTTGTTAAAAGATTAACTTAAGTCAATTTTCTCTCAACTTAGTAAAGGTCAAGGTTTTTTTTTTGGTTTTTTTTTGTTCGTTAATTGACTTTATTACAATGAAAATAATTTGTTTTTCTTTTATCTCTGTTATGTATTTTTACACCTATCCTTTACTTATAACCACAGTATAGCTTTTATGGCAAGACATTTAAAAAAAGAATAAAAAAAATAAAATGTCTAAGAATATTGCTAAGTAAAAGCTACTATTCACCTGCTGGGGAAGTATTTGGTGCTGTTAAGCAGACATGCAGCTCCATCAAGTGTGTGTCGAGTGTAATCAATAGCAGGACACTAGAGAGAAAACAAAGGCAAACATCAAGTAATAAAACAATATCAAAAAATCTGGAAAATTACAGATTATTATTTTCACTCAGCACTTACACTGAATAATAATCTGTTAATTTTGAAGAATTTGTGGCTTATATTCAAAACTGAGAAAAAAAAAAAAGAAAAAAAAAAGGTCAGTGTCAAATGGTCAGTTTTTCCATTGACAATGCTATTATTTTAACTACCTTGACTCCTTGTCAATATTCATTTAAAAAAAAATGATTATTGTGTGTGTGTGTGTGTGTGTGTTCGTTTATATATTGGATCAGATTTCCTACACTTTTCAACCGATTTCAACAAAACTTCACAGGACTACATAAAATTACCTTGCGGTAGTTCTGACAGTGTCAAAAATTGGAAAAACACAATTGTTTCTGCATGAAATCAATTTGAAAACAAGATTAAGAGGCAACGCTGTTTCGAGAATAAAAGGGGGACAACTCGTATCGAGTTATATTATAAAACCCAGGTTGTGTGTGTGTTCGTTTATATATGGGATCAGATTTCATACATTTTTCAACCGATTTCAACAAAACTTCACATTGGCAGGTAGTGTTTCTTATTGTCTTGCACACTTTTTTCTTTATTTTTACATTCAGAATGCTTTAAAAATTCCATTTACAAGACAATTGTTTATAATAAAATTGAAAAATTCTATTCAATTGGTAGACTCATAATGATTGAAAACAATGTTTTTGTTTGCAACGCTGGGCTCTACTGCTAGTTTGTAATAAAACCTAAAACTATGATGAAAGTGGATTTATACATTTTCTTTGTTTTTGAGAATTGAAAACAAAAATAAACACTATTATTAAACTGTTTATTGGAATGGTTTGCAAAACATCAATTAATTGCCAAGTGATTCAAACTTTATAAAATGGCAAATAATAAAGCCTTCCTTGTAGTTGGTTCAGATATTTTAATAATTTATTAACTGTTTATAAATTTATCAATGAACAATTGTTTGCACATTTCTTTATAAATTGGGAAATGATAAATATTGCATGAGTTTTAATTGTATTACTTTTTAGAATGTTGTAAATATAAAATATAAATAGTGTTTAATGTTTTTGTTGCAAATTCTCAAAAAACAAATTCACTTTCATCATATGTTTAGGTTTTATTAAAATTCATCAATTTTTAAAACAATATTGCCAAGGAGTAAGGGTAGTTAAAATAATAGCAGTGTCATGGTAAAAGCCATCCTTTTGACACACTGTTTTTTTTGCAGGTACGAAGGCTCAAGTTTTCCTGTTTTACTTAAAAGGTAAAAAGGTTAGAAAGAAGCAAAAAGAAAAAAAAAAAAAATATGTCATGGAATTGACAGAGTAGAGAAGGGTGTTGCCAGAGAAAAAAAAAAATAGAAGCAAAGAAAAGAGTGCTTGACTAATATATAATATCAGTCCTCCTATTATGGGAGTTAATATGAGAATTTTCCCTACAGATGAAGAGAAGATGTGAGGCAACAGAAATGTAGTTCTACACTCTGAGAATACCATAGAATTTACATGTAAGTAATGAGGAAGTTTTAATGAAATTGAAAAGGACATCAGAAAGAGACTGTTGAAATTTCTAGAGCACATGAGGAAAGAGAGCTTGGAGAATATGACACTAACAGGACATACTGAAGGTAAGAGGGACAGAGAAATGCAGTAAGTAACCTTCCTAATGAGATTGTGTAAATAGATGGCAGAACATGGACTGTGATGATGAATTGACAAACCTACAAAGAATAGGAAGTTGTGGAGAGTCATGACTACCTACATCCTGAAAGGAAACAGCACATAGATAAAGAAGAGTAGGTGTTAAAGTAGAAACAATAACTAGCAGTCAGAAAGCAACATAAATTCCACTTCTGTTGCTACATTTACACTCACTCAACCACTGGGGATTTATTACATTTGACAGATACATTTTTTTTTTTTTTTTTTTTTTTTTTTACAGTTTATCAACCCTTTGTAGGTTATTTAAACTCAAAACATTTTGGATTGTAAGAATTTTTTTCTTGACCTGTGAATATTGCATTAATAATTTTTGGGAAAATAATTTTTCTAGATATAAGTTCCGCTTTTTAACCCATAGCTGCTGGGTGAAATTTTTTTTTGTTGAGATAATGATTTTTTCCAGATCTGTGGCTGAGTAGAGAGGAGATGGGTTCATACATTTCCCCAGGGTGTTTGTGCATAAGTGAATATAATGAACTCAACTGGAATTTGAACTTAGCTGATTTCTCATCCCAAGCCGATACACATTGTACCACCTGCACATCTGATTTGAGAGAGAGAGAGAGAAAAAAAAAAAAAAAAGGAAGAAAAAGAAAAAAACAACTTTCAAATATTTCTAAGAAAATACAAACAAGGGAATGTTTTGTAAAAGTGTAATTAAGAATTTCAATAAGATAGTACGTCCATAACACCAGTAGTAGACAAGTGGCTTGGATGTGTGCACTTTCATTTCAAGTACAACAAACATGAATCTCACAATTCCAAACTAAATGGGGAAAGAAAAGGTTCCTCATGATTTCCTTCTTAATACTAAAATTCTGAATCTTATTATCAAAAAGAAAACTCATCAGCAGAAATCAGAGTTCTGAATCAAGAATTAAATCTGAGCTTTAATCCCCAGTTGCCAAAGTGCAGACATTGTACTGAATTAGTAGATAATGCAAAGAGGGTTTCTAATCAACAGCTATGTGAGCAGAGTCCATATCATCGTTATTTTTTTTTTTTTTTAAATAATCTCAACCAAAGCAAGGCAATAAAGCCACTATGACGCAAGGGATTAGTCAGTCTGAGAGAATATGAAAAAATAAAAACATTAAAAGAGAGAACAATAAAATAGTGTTTGACAAGGGAGAAGTGCGAGAGAAGAAACTGTTAGCATAGAACTATTACATTTAGTCATTTCAAGTGTAAAATGATGAGACCTTGCCACCAATCTAGTACTGTGGTTAAATTCATAAAGTCTTGGTGCCACAGAGGAAAGCAATATTTATTTTGGTTTAACACAAAAATGTAGCACAAGGCTGAAAGTGTGGATAGGAGAAGGCTGGTTTCAATGGTGGGTGGATCTAATAAACAGGGTGGGGTCAATAAATCGGGTTGGTTGGGAAATGATTAAAAAAAAAGTTTTTCAAACTCTACAACAAAACCTCGAAAAAATAAATGACCATGTAAGTTTCATGTAGTCATGTTGCCGATCTTCATCAATAATCTCCCAAATATCATCAGTTCTCAACTAGGCATTTATGCCAATGACACAACCATTTACTCCTGTCTTAGTTGCAAGTCTAACGGAGTCAACAAAGTAAACTTGGCAAGTGCTCTTGAAAAGGTTCTCCAATCACTGGTTAACTGGGGCAAGAAATGACTTGCTAATTTTAATATCTACAAAACAAAACTGTTTTCATTTAATCACCACAGAGAACCTTTTCAACCAACCATCAGGATGGCTAATATTAACCCTTTGAGCCCTGAACAATTTTAACCCTTCTGCCTGAGCACCCGAGTCAAAATTTGTAAATAATCGGTATGTAATGTTTCACGGCAGATATAAGTGTTTACCCACTGTTCAACCAGTGACTGGGCATTAAGTCATTTTTCTTTACCACTGTTCAACCAGTGACTGGGCATTACGTCATGTTTCTCTAACTCCTGTAAAGCTGTAGTCAGGGCGCAAAGAATTAAACTCCAGGAGAGCAACACTCTACACCTTCTTGGCCTCATGTTTCCCACCAACATGAAGTGGAGTGACTATATTGAATCAATTGCTTCATCTACGGCAAGGAAAGTTGGTTCACTGTGTTGTGAAAGAAAGTTTTTCTTATATCCATCTTATACATTTGCCTGTCCATTGAATAGTGCTTCCATATCTGGTCTGGTACTCTTTCTGTACATCGAGATTATCCGGACAAAACAGTTTCTTTTCTTGCACTTCTCACCTGCAGATCCCCCTTCCGATTTCTTACTTCTCTGATAAAGTCAAGCTTCAAAAATTTTTGTAGCGGACACAGACTGTGTCCCGCAGGCTGAGTGATGTCTCTTGTGACCGAAAATCTGTATAGCAACCTCGCTAGACATTATAAAAGCCGGCCTTTGTTAACACCGGGGAGTTACACGAGGGGATGCTGCCAGTGCAACAAGAGCGAATTATGATAACTCAACTACAAATTTAAATGCAACATCAATCATCATCTTCTACCCTCTTGAACCCTGTTCATTTTTTTTTTTTGTCCTTCCCTCAATCCTCACTACCAAAGTCTTCATATTTTCTTTCACTGCCAGTAAGGCCCTGCATTCTAGTAGCATTATTGCTTTGCTTAACAAAAACAAAATTGATTGACTGATAGATTGATTTGTTTTTTGCAGGTTATTTAAAGCCAGAAAATATTTTTAGACTGCAAAATTTTTTTTTTTTTTTTTTTGAGATAATAGGGATACAAGTCTTACCTTCCCCAAGGAAATTTGCAAGTAAGTGAATATAACGAACATGATGGGAATTGGAACTCGGCTCTCTGATTAACAATTCTGAGCCATTATCCATTACACCACCTGCACATCCAAGCTTACAGCATCTGGTATTTCCAAACGGGCACCCATCATAGGTACTGACCAGACTCAATATTGCTTATATTTGGTGATCATATGAGAATGGGTCTTTCCACATGATGTAGGTGTAAGCAATCTATTGAGTAGGATGACTGAATAGTTAAAAAAAAAAAAAAAAAAAAAAATTGTGTGGGGAGGGGCTAATAAGCTGCCGTGTGGAGGAGATGTCACTTATTTGGCACCTGAGAGTAGGTATTCTAGTTTTTACAATCTACACGCCAATTGTTTTGTCTTCTTTACTCATGCTTAAATTTATGAATGTCTCATAAGGGAGACAAAACACAGCTGATCAGAAAATGGCAAATTCTGAAATGTATGTCCAACAAGTAAACACAAGCAACACACTATGCACCTTCAAAGTCACAGGAGAAAAATAATGTGAATACATAAACCAGGGGTATTTATCTATACAAAGAAGTTCCAAGTAGGATTTTTGGTCAGCTGTGCAAAAATAGCTCTAGGCCCCTTGGCACTTTCCTTTTTGGAAACACTTCAGATGCTAAGTAATGGTACCAGCTCCTTCCTGAAAAAGGAGGTAATACTTGGTAGGATAGCTTCCTGGGACTCAAACTGATATTAATTTAAACTGCCTATAAGATAAACAGATAACAGTGTTGATAGCAGATGCAGAAAGAAAACTACAAAATCTTTCCTACAGAAGGTAGTGAATGAAATTAAAAAGATTAAACATCAACTGCCAAAAGACAGAATGCATTCTTTTTAGCAAAAGGATAAGCCCAAAATGCAAATTACAAATCTAAGATACCAAAATTAAACAAATACAAAAATGTTACTAAGTGCTTTAACAAAGGGTAGAAAGTGCAACAATGAAATCCAAAGGCACATTAGGATAGCCAAAGATGCCTTTCAAAAGCTACACAGTGTATTAAGAAACAGAAACAAAAATTTTTAGCAACAAAGAAATGACTACTGAGTTGTTTTATAATATCAGTTTTCCTATATGACAATGAATGCTGAATAATCTCAAAGATGAAGTGACTTGAAGCAACAGAAATATAGTTCTACAGAATCATTCTGTGAATATCATGGACCAAACATGTGAACAAGGTTTTAGAAAAAAAATGAAACAAAAAGGAAACTTATACTTAACATCAAGAAGAGGCAGTTGAAATTTTTAGGGAACATAATGAGGAAAGAGGGTTTGAAAAATCTGATACTCACAGGACACATTGAAGGCAAAAGGGACAAAGGGAAACAATGCATAGCGTACTTAGTGAGTTTGAGCAAATGGATGGCAGAGTAGAGTTTGGGAGAAATAACAAGAGAACATTTATTAAGTGCTACAAAGGACAGGAAATTGTGGAGAGCCATGATTGCCTATGTCCTGATGGGACACAGCACACTAAGAAGCTCGCCCAGTTGGATCAGATTTTTCATGCAAACAAACGAAGGCTGAATTAGGAATGATGAATGTTACTTTGGTGTTTACAGCAATTAAATCATAAATTAAATAGTAACAATTTTCTCTTACCTCTTTTGGAGTTTTATGAGCGGCACAAAGAAATATCCACTGTTCAGTTGCAGTCATTTGCGTACAGCTATTAGGATTACATTCATTCTGCAAGAATCACATTTAATTTTAAAATAAAAAGGAAGAAATAAAATTTGTTCTAAAAATAACATTTTTTTGCATTTATATTCATCAAAAAGAACTTAATACTTTAAAGTGATTTAACAAGAGTGACTACAAAAATAAAAAATAGGAAGAATATATTCATAACTATGAAATTTCATCCTCATGCATTACTGAAACAAGCTACTTATAACCTAGTGTTTTTACTTTAACTAATGGTGATCAAATATCAAATTTGTTTACTAAAATACTTTCAATCTTAACAGTATTTGTTGAGGAACAAACTAATTGTCATTTTATGAGAAAAACAGTGTGTTAATGAGTGAACTATGAAGAAAAACCAAGACTGAGCAAAATGTGAAAGTTCAAATTTGCATTTAATAACTTTCTTGAGTGTATGTGCAAGTTGACTAAATACTGTTTAAAATAAAATGAAGCGTCTACTCAAATATAGATATCCACTAAAAATAAAGTTTTGAAGTTATAAAAATAGCTTGGATTAAAAATAAAATTTATTAATTCTTTAGAAATTTATATATATATATATATATAATTATAGTCTCATCAGTTAGGGTTTTGGTAAATATTTGGTTTCATTACTTCCTTAAAAAAATCTGCCCTCTGGTGTAACTCCAGTTTATATATATATATATATATATATATATATATATATATATATATATATATATATATACACACACTAGTAACTATACTTAGATGGTGAAAAGAAAAGAAAACAAAAACGGATGACACAATTGCAAATATAAATATATCAAAACAAATTGGTAGAAAGAAGAAAAAAAAAAAAAAAAAAAAAAAAAAAAAAAAAAAAAAAAAAAAGAACTAGAAACATCCAAACAGGGTGAAAAAAAAATTCTCCATTTAGGAAAACCAACCAACAACCCTGCTATACTGAGGTAGGTTCTAACCACCCTAAACATGTCCTAAAACAAATCCCAAACAGAATTACTTTTAGATTATGTACTAATTCATCCAGTGCCAATATCTTTAATCAAAATAACAAAGATTATGAAAGGGCTTTGGAAAATAGTGGACATAAAACTAAATTAACATATATGAATACTGATAATTCCCCCAATATGTACAATAAGAGGAAAAATAGAGCTAGAAAGATACCATGGTCCAATCTACCATATAATTAGCTGTAACAACCAAAATAGGTAAAATATTTTTTAAATTACTAAAAATGAATTCCCCACACCATCTAACGTATTGCACAAAATCTTCAATAGAAATTCTATCAAATTAAGCTATAGTAGTATAGACAACATAACTAAATTAATCTATCTATAAAAGGCAGGATGTGTGTGTGTGTGTGTGTGTGTGTGTAACAAATGCACAGCCACAATTTTTGATGGATTTGCACCAAAATTTACATGCACATGCTCCAAAGTTAGCAGAAAGGCCAAGACTGACTTTGCATTTCCCAACTCCAATCGATAGTGGAAATAATCAATTTTTTCATGCTTCTACAGCAGTTTTCATGTAGTTTGCGGCCATTTTCTACTGGCCAAAAAAAAAAAAAAAAAAAAAAAAAAATTATATATATATATATATATATATATATATATATATATAAAATAGTCATTTTTTAATGACCATTATATATATATATATATATAAAAATGGTCATTTTTTTTTTTGGCCAGTAGAAAATGGTCATAAAACTACATGAAAAAATTGATATTATATATATATATATATATATATATATAAAAACATTATGTAATGTTCATTTTTTTTTTTTTTTTCATTCGACACACCTGAACACTGCATTGTGCATGAGTTGTGTTACGAATGAGGAAACAATTGTATATTTATTATTAATATATAATTTGCAGTTCTGTTACTCTACATTGAGCACTATTTTTTTTTTAATACCAATAGTGAATGTGCAACAGTATGTGTGTGTATGTGTTTATTACTATAAATATTTTAGTGGATACATCACGTGTTTTAAAAGAAATTTAAATTCTTTTTCCTTGACTTTACAATAAAATATTTATGGCAATAAAAATAATGAGATAAAAATCCATTAATCTTTTTAAAATGTATGCATGTATGGGCATATGGCTAAGTGTTTAGAACACGGTTCTCAACGAGTGGAGAATCCACCCACCTCCGGGGGGGGGGCGGTATTTCGAGGCGGGGAATCTTACTTTTATACAAGTTGTAATCTCCATAAGTAGATAAATAAAAATGTCAGGCTATTCAAATTATTTTTTTTTTTTTTTTTTTTTACTGAATTACAAACCCTTGACATTCTATTGATTGTTTTATTTATTAAAGTAGGCATGTTTGTTTATGAATTAAAACAAATTACTGTACATTTATTAAAGTTTAAAAATCCATCAACATTTTCAATTGCTATTAAATTTGTAAAACTTCTCTCTAAAATTAAGCCATGTAAATGTATATGTACTAATATGGAAAAGAATGAAGATTTTCAATAATATATGCATATCTCTATGAACTCAAATGAAAGAATTAATTATTCAATGGTGACTTGAATGTTATTTGTTTAACATTTAAGAAGCATTGAACAAGAGAATACAGAGCAACAAAGATTTTGACATTTTCGTAAGTGCAATCCAGTTACAAAATTAAAGATTGCATTTATTATTTTTCAAGGTATGAGTGAAATAATAAGGATAGAAAATAATTCTTACTTGTAGTTTCACAGCAAGCCCGTTAAGTTCCATACAGAATTGCCTAAAACCAGAAAAAAAACAAATCATTATAATGAGAGAAATTTCTCTTTATTATAAATTATGCCATTTACAAACTGGAAGGATTTGATTTCCATTGCAAGCTAACTTTTTTAAATTTGTTTGTTTTTAAATATGAAAAAAAAAAAAAAAAAAAAAAAAAAAAAATCAACCCCCATCACAAAAAATACCAAAAGCATTTAATTAAAAAACAGGTCTAATTCCTAAAAAATATAACTATTCCAATAATATAATTAAGTTATATACACAATTAAAAAATTAACTTATTTGATAAAAGATATATCATCACATCTTTGTGCACCAGCTCATTTTCAGATGGTTAATTTATTGCACTGGCTTGATTTTGCCATCCCCAATATGTAGTTCAGAACTGACCGTTTCTTTTACTAACACCCATGCATTCTGCCTTCTTAGAGCTGTAATAACTTATAAGATACAATATCTAAACATTTACCAAACAAAAATTGCTCAACTAAGAAATCTGAAAGATATTTACCGAAGATGTTCGTATTTCCACACTCCTTCATCTTGACCTTCAGGTGGGGTGAGAATAGCTTCAATATTTGTCACATCTTTTCTTATAGCCTGTTGGATGAACTGCAAACAGAATAAAAAAATATATATATATATATATATCATACTGATAAATGCTACTTATGTGTTAAACTAAATCAGTTTACATTATTATGGACAGATATTGTATATCTCAAACCTCTCCAGTTTACACTGAAAATGAGTCAAAATAGTGAGGTTTACTTCAGGTTCAACTGAGGAGATCTTGCTTATTTCCAAGGTTATTTTGTTAAAATTAGCACATAAACAAAATTTTATCTTTTTTCTTTACAAAGATACAATTCTTTGTCATGTGTAATGATTAGATTTGTTCCATGTTTCTTTAAATTATGTCACTATTTCATTGACAGGTGCTTCATTCCTACACTTTAAAAGCTGAGAATTTCATGTTGGTATTTTTCAAACCTGTTACACTTTCAGTTGTGTATCTTCACACATATCAAAGTAGTACCATCTTCAAGAAAAAATAGGATGCTTGTCAATTTTGTGGGCTTAAAATAGGGTTTGTCGATTTCATGAAAAAAAGGGACTACATTATCTATTTTATGTGATACTGTTGGGTCCAATGCAAAGAAATTTAGATTACTGACAAAGTAAGTTAACATTGGCAGCTGAATTCTATTTTAAAAAAGACTCTCGCAACCTTTGATGGAGATTTTATATTCTTGTATTATTTCAGACTTGTTCTCATCTTGGTTGATATAGACATTATTACAGACAATATTTTAACAGAGTACCCTCTGGTCATCATGAGGTATCCATTTATTGGCTGATATAGGATATCTGTTGATTATTGATATCAGTTATTATTCATTCCTTCTGAATTACAGAGTCACTACCAGATCCAAGGATTGACAAGAACACATTTATAAGCAAGTCTTATATTCATTACACCATTATCTCAAAGGACATTAGTGGTGCGTTTTTAGAGCCTTTTATATTCAATGTGAGAAGGTTCTGACATTTGGTTATGATGACAGGTTCAGACCACTTTTCATAATTTAATATTTCATTTCTGAAATGAGTAATTATCAATATCATTGTATTATTTCATACTTTTGTTTTCATTTTGATTGATATAGATGTTATTATAGACACAATATTGACAATTACTCATCTTGAAGATTAAATAATAGAATATTTCATAGTTTCAATCCTTTTTTTTATATTTTTCTTTAATGATTTTAAAACTGTATGATGTACTTATTGTATTTTGTCCAAATTGTCACACTAATTAATTTTCCTTAGCTGTTGTGTTTAGTTATTTTCTTAGAAATAAATAAATTATATAAACTATTAATATTAAAAATATATAAACCATATTAATATTAAAAAAATAAATTATATAAGCTATTAATATTAAAAACTATATAAACCATAATATTATAAAAATAAAGTAAATTATATTAATATTATAAAAATAATTAAATAAACATGGAAATATTTTTAGTTCTTTAACTTTTGCACACTCCTATTTGTCTGAAAAATTAAAATGAAATTTAAAAAAAAAATCCAGTTTTCTTTTTAAATGGTAATTTATTTATGGTTGTAGCTGGCAATATTTTCTAATTCTTGGGATCAAATTGAAAATTTATATACATTTTGTTTTTAAAAAAGAAATAAAACTGGATACATTTCATAAAACTAAAATAAAAAAAATAAACTGGATATATTTTTTAGCTTAACTTTGGTACAAGCATGTACCAAAGATAAGGGTCCATAAAAAATTGAAACAATTTTAAAAATGTAATCAGTTTCCTTTTTTAATGATTGTTTATTTACTAACCTACATGGTTAGTAAATAAACTATCATTAAAATTGAAAATTTTGCATTTTCTTAAAAAATGTAACTGGATATGTTTTATTTAAAAATGAAAAAAAAACAAAAACTGATGCATTTTACAGTTCTGCAATTTTTGCAAATACACATTGGTTTGTAATAAGTTATTTCATTTTTTTCTTATTAAGCCTTTACAGAAGAAATAAACATAACTTATTTTTTTTAAGCAGGTCTTTGTTTATTTTTTTTTTTTTAATGTATTAGTGCTTTCTATGCCATAGATGCCTACTTGGGCTTTAATAAAATTTACAGAAGATAATGAACTTGGTACCCTCAGTGGTTGCTTTCTTGCAAGTAAGCGCTAAAAGAGGACAAAAAAAAAAAAAAAAAAGTTTTTAAATGTTTCACAAAATCTTGTTAAATATTCTTTGTCCAAGTCTTATCTGTTCTTTTTTACGATACAAAAATTGTACATTTTTACTTCCCTGACACTAGTATTGTACAGTCAAGATTTAAGAATCTGATCAGACTAAGAATGGAGCACTGCTGCTATATCTGGGATGGTGCTGCCCAATCCTAAGTGTCCAGCCTCTACAGAATTCAAAGGTGATTACACAGCCTTGTTGGTGAGGAATTATTCTCCAACCCCGCAACACTAAACCCACAGACAAAAAACAGCTAGCCTCAAACTATTCTATCACTATTACTACAGCAGATGTCAGGACGAGTTACCTTCTTTAGTTCCACCATCTCAAACTTTCACAGCTAGGACCTTCCATGCCATGTTCACAGTGGCAAACCATGCCCACTCCCTTTGTGTTCCTAAGAAGCAAGTCCCACACATAGCTTCTTCCCCAGAAACCCAAACTCCTAAGAGGATGCTTCCCTAACAACTACAATCTTACTCTCTTTTAGTCGATCTTTTCTACATGTCCTCATAATATGCATTTCTTACTTCCTCCTCTCCCCTCGTTTACAACACTCTCACTCAGTGATGCTCTAACTTGAGTGATACTTGTAATAGTATAATAAAAAAAAAAAATGTTGACACCTGGTATCAGGCAGTGGCTTGGAAGCAATGTGTTGACTGAGATATCTGAAGGTTCTCTTTGGGGTCAAGTTTACTTCCACACCAGCAGAAGTAAAACTCAGTTGGAAGCTGCTTTCTCCAATTACTCGATGACAGTAAAATCAGTTGATTCAAGAAAGGCACTCAGTGAATCTGTGTACCCAAACAACTCTAGCATTTGTGATGAACTGCCTCAAATGACCTTCAGTTATGAGCATCAAGGTCAATAGGTTGAAGTATACCATAACTCCAACTTCTACATAGGCCATGTCATTGATATCACATCTGTCCGATGATGTAATAAAGATTTTAGATCCAACCAAGGTCAGAAATTATTATTCCCGGTGGCCATAGTCAGATGATAGTGCACAAGTGGAGTCAACATTTGTTTTTAATGCCAGTGGTGGCAGGATACAGAACATTCCAGGAATATTGGCTATAGCAATGGCTTATAAAACAAATTCAGACTGCAAATTGCTATTAGGGGAGGAAGTATAAAAGGACCATTCCAACTGTCCTGAAAGTCCTTTTCATCACTTCTCAGTTAATGTTTCTCTATCAGGTGAATTGTGTAACTTTAAAGTCAAGGTGTTACCCAAAAGTTCAGAGACATACAAAATGGCTTCCTCAAAGAAAAAGGTTTATTTCATGGTGGAGTGACTTTCTAGAGGTGTGAAATATTCAGAGATACACGTGAAATGATGAAACATTTTTCAAGTTCTTTATTGTGCATATTTGGTTCTGCGCGATTCAAGAAGCCTATGTAGAAATGAATTTTATTTCTCATCAACCCCCTCCCCAACATAAGGTGCATAGCATTTTTATCTCAATGAAAGAGGAAAAAAAAAAAAAAAAAAAAAAAAGATTACCTGCTGTACAGCAAGAGTACTCTCCATTTCATCAAAAGATTCATCAGGCCACCGACACCATTTCTGGAAAAGAAAACAGATAATTACAGGATGTATAAGGCTGAAAAAAAAAAAAAAAAAAAAAATTTCACACTTTAGAATACTCAAAACCGCAAAGAGGCAGCTGAAATTTCTGGGACACAATGAGGAAAGAGGGGCTTGGAAGCATTCACAGGACATATTGAAGGTAAAAGGGACACAGAGACACCAAGCAACTTTACCTGACAAGGGAAATGTTTTTCACTGTAACAGAAGAGTACATTCAGATTAACATCTGAGAATTCTTAAGACAATTTATATTAAGTCTAAGCAGCCTACCCTCTGTAAGCAGAAAGAATGATTGCCAAGTCTAAATGTAATCTGTCTGTGATTTATACTGCTGATTCTCTGGTAATTTTTTTTTTTTTTTTTTAAAATCATTGGACATATATTTATATATTTTTGTTCTCAACTGGTTCTAAAAAGTGACAAAAGATAACCAGTTATCCCACTTTATGGTGAGTATTTATTAGTATTGTTATCCTTGCTCTTCCTCCCCCTTGGTTTTATATATTTTTGCATAGAATGCAATAGAATATTTAAAGACCTAATAAAATTTTGTATCCTGCTACAGATTATTATAGAAGTATTTCTTTTCCATTTATACTTTTCTTACCAATCATACACCTGATGAAGGCTGAAGAATTGATTCGCTGAAACATTGTGATGCCATAGACCAAACAATATTTGCAAAATAGCTTTGAATCCAGATAACTTTCTGATATACAAATAAAACAGCCAATTCCCATATTTTTCAGTGTATAAAACACACTTTTCCTTACCTCCAAATTTGAGATAGAAGTATAAAAATAAATTTCAACAAAACAAAAAACTTGAAAAGAAAACAGTGTAAATTAAAATAAATTTTATACAAATGCCAAAAAAATATATATTATATAAAATAAAAAATTATCTCTCTTATATATATATATATATATATATATATATATATAATAAAAAATTATGAGGTAACAATATATATTTTTTATATACCAAGAACAGTATTAAGGAAATTGTAAGACAAAATGGAAAAAGTTTATTTGAGATGCATTTCATCGGACTGGGTTTGTTGATGTTGTGACTACAGAGGTACATGAATGAGAGACTCTTGTAGTTTAAAAACTTTTTATAATCTAGCCAAATTCATCTAAATTCTTTTTCTTTTCATCAGCTTTGTTATTAAATATCCCACATTGTGATGACACAAAATCTGTCAAAAATGGTGAAATGTAAGAACCTGAACGTAAATTTATTGTGGCTGAACTGGTGATTAAAGGACTTTCTAGACTTTTTTTTTTGTCTTAGTGAGTTAAAAGAAAATGAATAAATTAAAAAAAAATAAAAAAATAATGTGTGTGCGTGTCAAAAGCAGGCAATGTAGGTTGCATAAAAATATATAAGTACAGACATAACGGCAGAAATGTAAATTGAAAAAGAGAAACATTTTTTCCAAAGTGTCTATACTATTCACTTAGCAATCATATTAAAAATGTTATTTAAAATAATTTTCTTTAGAAAATCATAGTTAATTTGTTAAAGACTAATCAATTTCAGATCTAATAATTGTTATCAACATGACAACTATTATTTTTTTTTTTTTTTTTTTAAATAATCATCTTATATTTATTCTTCAGTTTTGTTTTTTTATAACCAAAAATAACTGCCAATTTTAAAAAATAAAATTATTTCATGATCAAAGATTTAAAAATTACATGCCTCCTTTATTTTTACAAACAAAATGGATTTTATGCTTGTAATTCCTGTAGAAGGAAGAGAAAGAAAAAATTTTGCAAGAATTTTTTTTAACAAATCATCTTATATCTCCAGATGATTGATGGAGAAAATGAAATCCGGGTTTCTCAACTGAAACTTGAAACTGGTGAATGCAAATTGCATCACATTGTAATTAGAGAAACAGCTCTAGAGTTAGAAAGAACAGAAAAAACAACAAACAAATGCAAGCAATAATAGATTAGCTTTAAAAAAGATGAGAATAAACAATCGTGAGATCATCTGAGACTTGCTAACAGCAACATTTAAGTAGGAAAATTAACAAGATCTGCTTTCAAAAGGCAGAACGTGGGGCAGGCAGTATGTGTGACATTAGATCAAGTTAGGCACGTAAAGCTCATTGTTTATAATTACCAAAAGAGAAAGGTAACCACGTAATTCCAGATCTTAAAATTTCTGAAATACTAAAAGAATCTATCAACCAGGTACAAAAGAATGTTATTACATATAAATAAAAAGAAACATTTGGCATCCAAAATGGCCAATCCAAGAAGTGAGATCAAAAGTGAAGGTCACTGATGTGAATCTATAAAAAAATAATAATAAAATAAAATAAAAAAAACAAGGTGTTAAATTTTTTCCCATAATTCAAACATTATACAAAAGTAGCAGGCATCCCCCTGGTTTGGTTTGTGGTATATCAACCTCAATGGTTTATTTAATGCCGAAAAGATTTTTATTGCTGGTAATTTTTTTTTTTTTTGCTAAAATATATTGCTAGTAATTTTTCACATAGTACTTCTGGTATTAAAATCTATTTTTACACTTTCATAGTGTTTTGACATCAGTTTGGGGGTTAACTATTTACCCATAGCTGGGACCCTAACAGGTGCTACCACCCTGGGTTAGGGTGTACCTGGAAACAACAACAATTAAGAGGTGGTTCCACGTTCCTCAAAACCTCCTGATCAGAGGCCTTGCTGTCAGACAGTTTATCGTCTTACCCAGGATGCGAATGTAGTTTTCATCATACCCAAGATGGGGAATGCCCCTGAATGACTACTTACTTTTAAACAATAAAAGACTCTAAACATTAACAGCAGTCAGAACATGCAGTACCTGGCAAAATTTCACGATTTTCCTATTTTAATTTCATGATGAATCATTTAATTTTAATGATTGCAGAGGTTCCTTGGAAGTTCCACAGCTTAAAAAAAAAAAAAAAAAAAAAAAAAAAAAAAAAAACATGGAAATTCCCCTATTGCATTGTTAAAAATTTTAGCTTAAAAAATATTGCAATAACAATCCTAAGTATGAATGCAGGTTATTACTTAAAGTAGTAAGAGGGTACAAAAGAAAAAAAATTTAAAATTGACAAGGTTTAACATTTCACTAAAGCAGATACTAAACACACAAGTCATTATTATTATTATTATTATGATGATGATGAATTAATTCATTTTTTTTTTCTTATATAAGAGATGCTGTTCAGTTTTAATATCTTTTTCTTCTGTCTTTCCTCACAATCAAAACTAAATAGCCCATTATTTATCTGAAGTAATAACAAGTATAATACAACTTAACAAATAACAGACAAACTTATTATAATATGATTAGAAAACATAAATTATAAGGAAAAGCAATAATTTTTAGCATTGGCCTATTATTTGACCTAGGGGAGAATGTTAAGCAGTTTTACCAACTTGGATTCGAAATCAAACATTAACCTGCAGATAACTCATATCTCTCAATTTTCCCCTGTATAATGCTCACACCGATCAATAGAGAAAGGTTAGTTAAGTGCGATTTTGATGAAAAATAAATATTTGACATGTAAAATAAATGCGCCTTTCCCCAACCCTCATTTGGCTATCAACTTTCTTGATACAACTATGCAATGTTGAAATCTTAACAATTCTGACAAAACTTATACTGGAGCTAAGATTCTAGAATTCCTCTAACTGAAAAATGACATTGTAAAATGAAATGAGAATGAATGAAATACAAATTCAAACGTTCACAACATTAATTTAAAAATAAATCTCAATACAATTGTAGAGTGATAATTCTTTATTATAGGATATTACAATTCAAACATATGTAGAACAATGACTATATGTTCGAAGTGTAATATCCTATAATAAAGTGTGTATATATATATATATATATATATATATATATATATATATATTACACACACTGTATTTGGGCAGCAATCCCTCTTTTATAGAAATTTTGTTAAAGACAACTGACAAGGTACTGTGATTAAACTTTTTATTTAATTTTTCGTGTGTTCAGACAAGTGTTTTCTTAATCACAATTTTATTTGGATTTCAATTGACTGCAACAATAAAATGAAGAATGTTATGGCGGAGCAATCAATCAGCTTAAAGTTCAATTTTTTTTTTTTTTTTTTTTTTTTTAATTGTTTTCTAGATTGTGTTTACTGAAAAAAAACTAAACATCTGATTAAACTAAGATACATTTTTGTTGGCTATAGAGTAACATTACATCTGAATGTCTATATTTAAACAAAGGACTTGACTATACTAATTTTAACAATTTCATACAATTTCTCTTTATGTTAGTTTTTTAATAGACTGGAATTACATGACAGTGATTTCAAAATAAATTTTTAAAAATTCAGCTGAAGATGATGAATTACTAGTTCATTAGTAACAATGAAAAAAGGGCTGACCTGCGATGTAATATCTATCTTCCTATATGGTAGTGAATGCAAGATAATTTTCTCACATATGAAGATGACAGCCAAGGTAACATATGGTTCTATAGAACCATGGTGAGAATACCATGGACAGAAGATGTGAGCAATGAGGAAGTTTCAAACAAAAAAGAATCTAAAAGAGTTTAAATTACTGGTGATATAATTGAAAAAAAATAAAAAAGAGGGCTTGGAGATTTTGACACTCATAAGACACTGAGGAGGCAAATAACTAAAAGGGTATGTGTAAATGGATGATAGAACAGGGAGTGTATGTGTGATATTCATAGAACAAACACTGCTTAGAGTTACAAAGCTATTACAAAAAAAGTTAATTATTTTAACAAACTTTAAAAAACTTGACATAAAAGAGCTTAAATAGTCATTTAATTTTTTTTTCACATACATTAGTTTAAGTGACATGCAAGATAATAATATCAATAAGATGCAAGTGGCTATTTGGAATGAAAGAGAATGAAAAAAACTTTAAAAGTAGGGACTTCCACTAATTTTCAATATCTAAGGTCTAAAA